TAAATTGTACGTGTTAAATATAGTTTTTCATAAATCGTGACAGGTGCATGAAACCTAAACCATCATCATACTCATAATAATGACCATATCAGTCACTGTGTAGCTGTTTCATGACCTCATTTAATCTGTCCTTATTCTTCATAGCTTTCCTGGTAACCATGCATAACATTCCATTTTAATAGAGAACTTTGCTTTTTCAAAGTATTTTTCTGCTTTAATTCATATTTCATAAATTCTTGGACATTGACTAAAGATATATTAGTGAGTTATCTTTTTGTTGATAGATATTCTTTTTGTTGTTATTAATCCTCATTTGAGGATATTTTTCCATTGATATTTAGGGAGACTGGAAAAGACATGGAAAGACAGAGAGAAACATCAATGTGAGAGAAACATCGATTGGTTGCCTCCTGCATCAGCTGTGACAAGGGCCCTGACTGGGAAGGAGTCTTCAACCAAGGTATATGCGTTTGACTGGAATTGAACCTGGGACCCTTTGGTCTGTAGACCTATGCTCCATCCAGAGCCAAATCGGCTAGGGTTCTGGTACTCTTATCTTTGAGTATATCACCATCATGTTTTCCATTTTAATAAATATTTGGTTATTTTTAATAAAGCTTTTACAAACATTTCTATATAGTTCTTTATATGGATATAAGTGTTATTTACCTTTCATCTTCCGCATGCTCCCAGACTTCGAGGGGGCACAGGACGGTTGGTCTGAGGCATCCCCCCTGAGTATGAATTTTGTGCACCATGCCTCTATTTTAAATTTATGAACCAAGACATGTTTCCATTCACAGTCAGGGATGATACCTGAGCCCTGCCGGATACGCAGTGTGGGGTATGCAGGAGGCAGCTGATCAATGATTCTCACTCAGCATTGATTTTTTTTCTCTCTATTCAACTCCTTTGAACTCCAGCCTCTCCCTGCAGAGACCTTCCCAGGCAGGCACTTTTCACTCCCCAGTGCACACAAGCACTTTTGTCTTAGGGTGCATTTTAGTGAGAAATGGGATCTTAAGCCACTGACTGCTGCAGGGAGGCAGGTACTGTGGGCACTCAGGTCTCATTGTGGTGGGCCCCACCTGGGAATCTTCAGCAAACTCACTAGAGCTCCCTGAGTTTCAGGTGGCCGAATGTGACATGCAGATGATTGATGTTCCTTACTCTGGCCTTCCCAGATCAATAAAATTTAAAAGCTTAGTATTTGATGCCAAGATCGCAGGGTTAGATTTTTGAGCATTTTCTCTTTTAATTGTCACAATAACCTGGGAAAGTGGAAACTCCTATCAAATTGATGAAAAATTCAGTATCTGAGAAATGAAGGCAGCTCCCCAAGTTTACACCATAGACAAGTGTCAGATTTCAAGGGGCTGGATTTTAACCATTATTTTCTCCAGCGTCAGACACAGTCTCTACCACTGATGTGCAGCCCTCACTGGAGCAGGTACAGTCTGAGGACCAGGGTGGCTCAGCTGCAGCTCCTGTTTCCATGGTTGCAGTTATGTGTTTCCTCCCATTCCTTTACATCTCAGAGCACTTCCCTTGGCTCCCTGTGTTCAGGGGAAATGAAATCGTTTTGCACTGCAGTGGTTTCTCTAGGGCAGTGGTTCTCAAACTTCCTAATGTCGCAACCCCTTAGTATAGTTTCTCATGTTGTGATCACCAACCATAAAATTTTCGTTGCTACTTCATAATTAATTTTGCTAGTGTTATGTAACATAATGTAAATATCTGATATGCAGGATATATTTTTGAACGACCCTTGTGAAAGGGTCGTTCGACCCAAAAAAAGGGGTCACGATCTACAGGTTGAGACCTGCTGCTGTAGGGCAACCTTCTTTGAGTCACCTGCAATTCATTTGCCTCCCCCACCCCTTTTTAATATATATATTTTATTGATTTTTTACAGAGAGGAAGAGAGAGGGATAGAGAGTTAGAAACATCAATGAGAGAGAAACATTGATCAGCTCCCTCCTGAACACCCCGTACTGGGGATTTGCCCGCAACCAAGGTACATGCCGTTGACTAGAATCGAACTTGGGATCCTTCAGTTTGAAGGCAGACACTGTATCCACTGAGCCAAACCAGTTAGGGCTATCTGCCTCTCCTTTGATCCCAGTACAGAGTTTGAACCTCAGGAGACCCCAGTAATTTGGGCTGAGTCTCTACACCTTCACCCCCATGTTGGGTGTCATGCTGTGATCCCATGCACTGTGATGAATTTCTTGCCTCAGTTTGACCTTCAAATGATGTTCTTATGTGGCACTGACATTCACCCTGCAGGAGTGAAGACGAATTCCAGGACCTAATATTCCCAAGTGACACTGGAGTCCTTCATGATCCTGGTCGCATAGGACAGGTGCTCATCTCTTATCCATGCATAGGACCTATACTGGCCATTTGATTCTGTCCTCTATATCCCTACGGGCTGATGGGACAATGGCTCTCACCATGTTTTTCCTCCATCCAGGATCATGTTCTGGACCCCCATCCTCCTTCCCAGTCTCCTGTGTCTGCACCCTGGGTCTTTGGGTTGGAACAGAGTCCTTTTGAATACAAGCCCTCAACACAGTGCACAGCACTCTGGGCCACAACTGAAGTTCTTACAGTGCTTTACCTGACAATCTACCCTGACTCTCCACACACAATGTTTTTTCACTGTAGGCGAAGGTAGTTTTTCGCGACATTGGTGTTTGCCATTTTGGCCAGTTACTCTGTTATTTTTCTGAGTCTTTTCCATTTATAAGGAGTTATACATGTTAATAACATTTTGGTCGTATTTCCCCTGTTAATCTATATTATTCAATTTAATTACTAGGCCAACCAAAGAACCTAGAAAAGGAGAACGGAATTATTATTTTGCCCCAAGAATGTTATTTTCCTCATTTTTACGCACTTAACTCCTCAGAATAATGAAATACTGTTCAGGTTTGGCGGGTGATGTGCGCTGTGAATAAATTCAGACCTAAAAGAAGACATGCAGAGGGGAATTTTGTTTCACGTTCCAAGAGAAGAAAGGGCCAAGTATTGCTAGTCAGTACAGGGCAGGGATAAAGGGTGGCTTCTGCTTTTCAGCTGTGCCTGTTGTTAAAGGACAAGGAATGCAGGGACCTTGGAATGCACCGAAGTGCAGTAGATCTGAGGGGCTGTCTTTAAAAGTTACAGTTTGTTGCCCTAACCGGTTTGGCTCAGTGGATAAAGCATCGGCCTGTAGACTCAAAGGTCCAAGGTTTGATTCCGGTCAAGGACATGAACCTTGGTTACAGGCACATACCTAGTGGGAAGTCTGCAGGAGGCAGCTGATCGATGTTTCTTTCTCATGGATGTTTCTAACTCTCTATCCCTCTCCCTTCCTCTCTGTAAAAAGTCAATAAAATATGTTTTAAAAAAAAAAAGTTAGTTTGTTTGCTTCCCTGGAGACAGTCTAGCAGATGTATAGGTAGGTGACTTTTCTGTACTTTTCCCAAGCCTATAAAATATGAATGGAGACAAACTTATGAAGAGTTCAAAGGAGGCTTTTTTTTTTTTAAGGGGCGGAGGGAAGGAAACATTCTACTAACTAGAAACTCCTTGGTGGAATTATCTCTGAAGTGTGACAACAGCAGGGAGGAGGGGTAGCAAGAATGTTAGCTTGAAAGTAACTAATCTTGCTCAAGGATTTAAACACAGGTGTTGTTGTATTAGAGGAGCCAACAATCTTGGGGTTTAATTAGCAAGTGCTTCCCATAAATTGTGGAAGGCCACAGCAAAGAAAATGAAAGACCTTTTTCTTGTCCTTACAAATACCTGCTCCACATTTAGAACTCAAGGCTTTATTGATCTGAAGCTTAACTACTTCTAGGTGACAAAAAAGGGACACAGCAATATGGGGTCATTCTATTAAGGAGGATGTGAATAATGGGTCGGAGGGAAATAAACCAGTCATAGAATTTTCTCCTCAACTGATGCTTTAAAGAAGTAGAGGGAAACTTTTTAAAAAAATATATATTTTATTGATTTTTTTACAGAGAGGAAGGGAGAGAGACAAAGAGTTAGAAACGTGGAAACATTGATCAGCTGCCTCCTGCACATCTCCTACTGGGGATGTGCCTGCAACTCAGGTACATGCCCTTGACTGGAATCGAACCTGGGACCTTTCAATCCACAGGCCAATGCTCTATTAATTACAGTGGCGACCTCTGGGAATAATTTAAATCATAGTGAAATAACACAGGGAGTCTTCCCTTTTTATACCCTGGGGTCATTGTCTTGCAGATATGGTTCCACCCTCTTTCCTGGGCTTACAGGAAGGCCCCCAGGTGTCAATGATCTGTCCTGGGGCCAGAGATAAAGACCTTCCCCTCCCCACCCTGCCCCAACCCCTGGGCAATGCATTGTTCACAGTTTTTATGGCCTGACACGCCTTGCAAGACCAGTTTCCTCCTCAGTATGATTGTCTGTTATTTGACATTAGCTTTGTATAATGGATTCCACGGAGGCAGGATAGACCCATTGAGACTTGAGCAACCTCTGCAAGCTACATTTGACCTGAAGGAGACACATGCCAAAGGTCATGCCTGAAGAAACAATGCCTGCCATTCTGAAAGAGCAGGTCCTGAAGAAAGATATGCAAAACCAGCCACACATGTGCACGAGAACCAAAGTTGCCCCAGACATCACCTCCACTGATGGCGCTACAGGACACTTAGTGTACTTGGTGTGATCTTGGGCTATTTGATCCTAAATCCAGTCCTGGAGTCAACTGAGAAATAGGGAATCTTGGCTTTTGAGCGCATAAACTACATTACCCAGAAGTCCATGCAAGGAATGCCACCAGGCTGAGCCAATGGAGGCTCAGAAAAGGCATTTCCGTTTGGCCGCTTCTGTAGGGCGGGAGCAGGAGTCCATGTGGCGGGATTTTTGTCTTCTCAGGTGTTTGTCTCCGGCGGTGAGGTTTTCCTAGTCGATAGACCCACGGAGAAGGCCGGAGAGCGGTGTTCCCCGCCTCACAGCCAATGGTGGGAGCCGCCAGTGGCGTTCACAGCTCCCACGTGGAATTGAAGCTCGGAGTCACCACCCGGACCCACGCCAGGGCCGGGACAGGGACCGCCATTCCTGCAGCAGCTTCTGCTCCCGCCCGGCTCAGCCCACAGAGGGCAATGGCGGCGCCCCCGCCGAGGAGACGGGCTGAGGTGAGTGTGTCCCCCAGGCCCTCACCGCCTCCTCACACAGACACCACAGCCTGGGGAGGGCGCCTGTCCCGTCCTGCAGCTCAGTCCCGCGTGGAGGACCGTGAGGAAGGTGGAGGGGAGAGAGGAGTGTTGTGGCTTCTGAGGACACAGCAAGTGCAGGGCAGAGAGGACGGGGGTGACTTGCATCTGAAGGCCCCTGAGGATGTGGCTGTGAGTATTGACGGAAAGATCAGAGACTGCAGGGAGGACGTCACCGGCTCATTCGGGGCTTTCCCGGCTGTGGGTCCATCAGGGGTCTGGGGTGGTCCTGGATCCGGCTGGACTACAAGCTCTCTACACGCCATACGCCAAGTTCATGGGTGAGTCTAGGGAGATCCAGTGGCATTGGAGCAGGAAGGGGGCAGAGCTGAGGGAGTGAACCTGGGGTCTGAACATGGGAAGGGGATGAACATTACCCAGTGGTGTGCACATCTGGAGGAACTGTGAGCTGATGGTCCTGGGACCTGGTGTGGGGACTTAAAGGTGAAGCATAAACCCGCGCTTGGCTTTGTCTTGGGGGCAGGATCTAGGAGACTGCAGTGGTGTTGCTTGGCTGCAAGGCTGGGGCCCTGCAGGCATCGCCCAGACCTTAAATGGCATTGCCCTCTACCCTCCCCTCCCCCAATCCTTCCCACCCAACCCAGCTGCTCTGCTGAGGGCCATCACAGTGACGAATGGGATTGTGATGAGAGAGCAGCCTGCACTGGCATTAGGGCCTGGTGTCCACAGTAACCAGGGGCCCTGGAGGAGGTTGAGGGGGGAAGGTGTGTAAGGAGTAGGATTACTGGTTCTCAGAAAGGCAGGTCTGCTTACAATTGTCTCCATTCTGACAGGTTGGCGTGACCTTTGAGGACATTGCCCTGTACTTCTCCAGGGAGGAATGGAGCCTCCTTGATGAGGGTCAGAGACAGCTGTACCTGAATGTGATGCTGGAGAACTTTGAACTTATATCCTGTCTGGGTAAGACCCTCACTGTCACCAGTGACCTGGACTTGGCTTTTTGATTTCCCAGGCCCCATTCCTCAGGGTGTGCTCTGTCCTCCCATGTAGACTGTGGTACTGCTTGATTTTCTAGTTTCCTGTGTAGTTCCTGTCCTGAGGAGGGTTGGTCTGTTTCCACTTCTCCCTTCTATTCTTGAAGTCCCAATGCTCCCTGGTCTTCTAAGTGCACAGGAAAGGACTTCTGGTTGGTAGTGTTACAGAAAGCCTAAGGGATTCTACCTTGCTTACTGAGAAAAGAATTTTCTATATTCCTATTGGTCATATATATATTTTCTGAACAATTGTTTGTACATCTTATCCTGCTTATTAACTGTATTTTTTGGTTAAAGATTCTTTTGATTATCTTGTATATTTTATGTATTAACTAGAAGCCTGGTGGATGCATTCATGCACTGGTGAGGTTGGTTGGGCTGTCCTAAGCCCTCTAGCAATCTGCAATCCGGGACCCATTGGGGTTGTTGGACTGCCGATTTTGGCCCAATCCCCACAGGCCAGACCGAGGGACCCCACCAGTGAACGAATCTGTGCATTGGGCCTCAAGTATGCATATAAGATCTTTGGTTAATCTCTAACTGCTCTCCCCTCTCCCCTCTTCCCTCTGACATTCATCAGTCTGTTCCATGTTTCCATGCATGTGCTTTGAGCGTCTGCTCCCTGGTGGTCAGTGCGCATCATACCTATCGGTTGGATGGTTGGGCAGTTGCTTAGTGTCTGCATCAGTCTGCATTTCCACCAGTCGTGCACAAGGGTCCCTTTCGTCCACATCCTCACCAGGACTTGTCGTTTGTCCGTTAGTTGATGATAGGTATCCTGACAGGTGTGAGATGATATCTCATTGTTGTTTTGATTTGCGTTTCTCAGATAATTAGTGACTTTAGGCATGTTTTCATCTGTCTTTTGGCCCTCTGTATGTCCAGTTTAGAAAAGTGTCTATTCAAGTATTTTGCTCATTTTTTGATTGGATCGTTTATCTTTTTTTTGTGAAGATGTATGATTTCCCTTTAAATTTTGGAGATTAAATAAACCCTTACCAGAGATAACATTGGCAAATGTGTGCTCCCATGCAGTGGGTGTTCTTGGTTTTTTTTTTTTTTTTTTTTTTTTTTTTTTTTAATCGTTTCATTTGCTGTGCAGAAGCTTTATATTTTGAGGTAGTGCCATTTTTTTTTCTTCCTTTCCATTGCCCTCAGAGCTGTACTTGTAAAGATATTGCTCAGACATATGTCTGATATTTTGCTGCCTGTAGATCCTTCTGAAATGTTATGGTTTCCCCTCTTACGGTTAAGTCCTTTTCCCATTTTTAGTCTATTTTTGTGTATCGTATAAGTTGGTGGTCTAGTTCCATTTTATGCATGTATCTGTCCAGTTTTCCCAACACCATTTATTGAAGGGACTGTCTTGACTCCATGGTATGCTATTTCCCTCCTTTGTCAAATATTGAGTTTAAGGGCTTGGGTCTATTTTTGCGTTTTTGGTTCTGTTGCATTCTTCTATGTGTCTGCTGTTGTGCGAGAACCAGGCGTTTTTGTGCTATTGCTTGGTATCTGATTTTGTAATTCCTCCAACTTTGTTCTTCTTTCTGAAGATTGCTGTGCCTATTCGGTTTTTTTTTTTAATTCCATATGAATTTTTGAAGAGTTTATTTTAGTTCTGTGAAATATGCCCTTCACATCTTTTTTTTTTTTTAATATATTTTATAGATTTTTTTTACAGAGAGGAAGGGAGAGAGATAGAGAGTCAGAAACATCGATGAGAGAGAAACATCGATCAGCCGCCCCCTGCACATCTCCTACTGGGGATGTGCCCGCAACCCAGGCACATGCCCGTGACCAGAATCGAACCTGGGACCCTCCAGTCCGCAGGCCGACGCTCTATCCACTGAGCCAAACTGGTTTCGGCAGCCCTTCGCATCTTAATGGGTATTCCGTTGAATCTATAGATTTGATTGAGTAGTATGGGCATTTTTATGATGTTGATTCTACCAATCCATGAACACTGTATATTCTTTTATTTGTTTATATCTTCTTCTATCTCTTTTTTCAACTTCTTGTAGTTTTATGAGTACAGGTCTTTGACCTCCTTACCTAAGTCTACTCCTAGGTATCCTAATATTTTTATTGCAGTGGTAGGTAGGATTGTTTGTTTCTCTTTCTGTGAGGTGATTATTGGTGTATAAGAAAGGCATAGATTTCGAGGTGTTAATTTTGTATCCTGCTACATTGCTGAATGCATTTATTACATTTAGTAGTTTTTGACAGAGATTTTTGAGTGTTCCATATACAATATTATATCATCTGCTAATAATGACAGTTTTACTTCTTCTTTTCCAATTTGGATGCCTTTCATTTCTTCTTTTTGTCTGATCGCTATGGCTAGCACTTCCAGTTTTATATCGAACAGGAGTGTTGCAAGTGGGCATCCCTCCCTTGTTCCTGTTCTTTGGGAAAGTGGTTTTAGTTTTTGCCCATTGAGTGTGATACTGGCTGTAGGTTTGTCACATAAGGCTTTTATTATGTAGAGGTATGATCCCTTTACTGTCACTTTGCTGAGAGTTTTTCTCAAGAAAGGGTGTTGGATTTTGTCAAATTCTTTTTCTGCATCAATTAAAATGATTTTGATTTTTGTCTCTCATTTTATTTTTTTTGTTTCTTTAAAAATATATTTTACTTTTTAAAATATATTTTATTTATTTATATTATAATATTTTATTGATTTTTTACAGAGAGGAAGGAAGATGGATAGAGAGTTAGAAATATTGATCAGCTGCCTCCTGCACACCTCCTACTGGAGATGTGCCCACAACCAAGGTACATGCCCTTGACCGGAATCAAACCTGGGACCTTTCAGTCTGCAGGCCGACACTCTATCCACTGAGCCAAACTGGTTACGGGTAAAATATATTTTATTGATTTTTTTACAGAGAGGAAGGCAGTGGGATAGAGAGAGTCAGAAACATCGATGAGAGGGAAACAGCATCAGCTGCCTTCTGCACACAGCCTAATGGATATGTGCCCGCTACCAAGGTACATGCCCTTGACCGGAATCAAACCTGAGACCCTTGAGTCCGCAGCCCGATGCTCTATCCACTGAGCCAAACCGGTTAGGGCTTAAAATATATTTTATTGATTTTTTTTTTACAGAGAGGAAGGCAGAGGGATAGAGAGAGTTAGAAACATCGATGAGAGAGAAACAGCGATCAGCTGCCTCCTGCACACCATCAACTGGGCATTTGCATGTGCATGCAACCAAGGTACATGCTCTCAACTGGAATCGAACCTGGGACCCTTCAGTCTGCAGGCCGATGATCTATCTACTGAGCCAAACTGGTCAGGGCTCTCATTTTGTTTTTATGATGTATCATATTTATTCGTTTGCAATACAGTACCATCCTTTCATTTACAAATTAAATCCCACTTGGTCATGGTATATCTTTCTAATGAAATGCTGGATCTGATTTGCTGGAATAATGTTGAGGATTTTAGTGTCGGTAGGGGTCACTTCGACTACAGCAGGCGAGCTGCTGTGAAGAAGACACCCCTATGGTACAGGATTTGCTTCAGTGGGGCTTTGGTGCTCAGTGAATCTGCCCCTTGAGTGTGTGGCTTATTGTTGTTAAGAGTTGTAAGGTGGCCAAAACCTGTTTGGCTTGGTGGATGGAGTGTGCGCCTGAGGACTGCAGGGTCCCAGGTTCGATTCCGGTCAAGGGCATATACCTTGGTTGCGAGCACATCCTCAGTAGGAGGTGTGCAGGAGGCAGCTTGTCGATGTTTCTCTTTTATCGATGTTTCTAACTCTCTATCCCTCTCCCTCAATGTAAAAAATCAATAGAAATATATATTTTTTAAAAAGACTTGTAAGCTGCTATGGTATGACACTGACCACTGGATACACTGGCTCTTGGTTTTCCAGGGAGGTGTAAAATCAGCCATGGCCTGAAGACACCCAGCTGGATCTACAGAGAGATTTGTAGATTCTCCTCTTTTTATCGGGTTTGGAAATGCCCTGATGAGGCCCAGCCTTGAATTATGGGAGGCTAGTGCTGCTGCCCCATCTTGGGCCTTTTGTTGATAGGTTTGGGGCTCCCAGACCCAACTGCGACTTTTTTGACAGGATTTAGCCCAACAAGACAGGCCACTCATATAGAAAAGGTGCTGCACATAGCTTGGGTGGGGTTTTAAACGGGATAAAGTGAGGTCTCAAGGAATCCCCACGGTGAAGCAAACTGAAATGGTTGTCAATCAGACTTGCGATCTGGGATGTCCCAACGTAGGTATAATGACCTCTTTGAGCCTCTTTGTCTGGGAGAAAGCCACCCCTTAGTTCCTGCCCCGATGCCAGTCAGTGCAGTTTCTCCTCATATATGTCTTCATCCGACCCGCCCCCCCCCCCCCCCCCCCGCAAACTTTCTGGAAGGTCAAAGAGGAAATCGGTTTGCTTGTGGTTTCCATTGTGTCAAGGTGTAACCCTCTTAAGGTTCCCATTTCTTTTTTTTTTTTTCCATTTTTGTTGAGGGCTTGTTTTTTTTTTCCTTTAGTCTAAGATCAAGGTGTACCAATTTTTTGTATTTGACCAACGTCCCTGTTAGGTATTTATTTGTCTACCTCCCTTTATCGATGCTTGATCAAATATTTCTTCGTCATTCCTTTCCCCCCTTTTGGTTTACTTTCTTGTTTTGTTTATAGATTCCCGAGATGGAAGGTTAGGTTTTTTGAGATCTTTTTTTTATAATGTAGGCCTTTTTCCTCATAAAATTTCCTCTTAGAATTGTATTTTCTGAATTTTATTCATGATTTTTATAAGTTGTCTTTTTAAAAAATATTTTTATTAATTTCAGAGAGGAAGGGAGTGGGAGAGAGATAGAAACATCAATGATGAGAGAGAATCATGGATTGGCTGCCTCCTGCACGTCCCCCACTGGGGATCAAGCCCACAACTTGGGCATATGCCCTTACCTGGAATCAAACCGGTGACCTTTTGGTTTCTAGGTCGACGCTCTACCACTGAGCGACATCCGGCTGGGCTATAGGTTTTCATTTTTTTTTAAAATATATTTTATTGATTTTTTACAGGGAAGAAGGGAGAGGGATAGAGATCCAGAAACATCGATGAGAGATCGATCAGCTGCCTCCTGCACGCCCCCCAGTGGGGATGTGCCTGCAACCAAGGTACATGCCCTTGACCGGAATCGAACCTGGGACCCCTGAGTCCGCAGGCCGACGCTCTATCCACTGAGCCAAACCGGTTAGGCAGGTTTTCTTTTTATTTACTTTGTCACTATATTGTTTTGAGTTCAGTTTTGGGTTTGGTTACCTTCAAATTGTTATTTATTTATTATTGCTTTCAGATAGAGAGAGAGAGAGAAAAACATCAGAGTGAGAGAGAAACATCAATTGGCTACCTTCTCTACAAAAGCTTACTGGATATGGAACCCACATTTTGTTGTAGAACAGGCCACTAGGGTCAATGATAGGAGAAGCACAGTGGCTTTTGGAGGTAACTCTGACCCTTGTTTTTGACTGTAGGTATCTTCAAATATAGTTGTTCACCCAGTCTTTCCAGTCATTCTTTCTGTACAGTTCTCCTTTATTTGTTTCTGTAATACTTTTGTCTTCATTTCCTATGGGGTTTATGTTCATGGCAAGCTGTCTACGTTCACTGGGATGGGGGTAGAAGCTCATATCTCTGATCCTGCCATCTTGCTGATGTCACTCACATTTTTCTTTTTTTTTTTTTTGCTTGTCAAATGATCTTTAATTGAAACATTTTCCTTTGTAGTTCTTAACTAGCCGGACATTCCACTGCACCACTGTTGATATCGTCTATGATGTCATGAGGGTGGCGACCATCAACATTGCACCCCACACACTGGGCAGTCCCCAGGATCTCTTTAATGGTTCCAGAGTGTTCTCTAGCTAAAGATCGGTGACGCATCTGTCGGGCAATGCTGACAGTCTCATCAAAAGTGATATTTCCCCTGTGCTTAATGTTTTTTTTTTGCTTCTTTCTGTCTCTTGGGCGGTTCTTTGAGGGCTTTGATGATCAGGGCAGAGGCAGAAGGCACTACTTCGATCTGGGCCTGTCTGTTCTGAATGGTCAGTTTCACTGTAATCCGCAGACCCTTCCAATCACCGGTTGCTTTGGCGATGTCATCACCAACCTTTTTTGGAGACAGGCCCAGGGGGCCGATCTTGGGGGCCAGGGCCAACGTCGCGCCCACTTCCCCACCGGTGCACCGCAGGTAGACGACTTTGATTTCGTTTGGGTCGAACTTCGGCGGCATGGCGGAGGCAGCTGGTGTCGGATGAACCCGGATTCGGGACGACCGAAGAAAGTTGCACCTGAGCCTCATAAGAGCCAAAAGCCAATAGTACATTTTTCTTTTGACTGTGATCTCATTTGTCCTTCGTTGTACTACCACAGTATAGTCCCTCCTTGTTCTTTACATCATTTATCCCAAGCAGTGCATCTAATGCAGAAGAATCATTTGTGCATCACAGGAGAAACATGACTTTATGAATGACACAGTGGACCCTGCGAGGGTCTTTCTTGGTGGAAGGGTTATTGGGGAGAAATTCATGCCAGGCCTTGTTAATATTCATAGCTAGAAACCCAGTGTTTTGTTAGAGTTGACCATTTCTCACACAGTTACTCTTCTTTGTGCTTATTGTTGATACTTTGCCAACTATTCAGTTCTAATTTTGATCATTTCTACTTAGATTCCCAGCTCATGGATAACCTTAACCTCTCTGGACTTTGCACCTCTGCCTCTTTCACAGGTCTCTCTTTACTGCTAGCCAACATTGTTCTATGCCTGCAGCACCTTGGAGAGCACACGTGTTATTATATTGAAGTTGTATTTCCTGTGATCTAATACAATTAATTTTTATGGCTTTGAGGAGCTTGAAATTATTCCACACAGACTGACATGGTCAGAATGTAAGGTCCTAAAGGAAGACATATGTGCAAAAACAAGGGGTAGAGCCATCCTCTCTTCTTTGTATCTACTCCTGTGCTTCTGTTCCTCTCTTGGTGAGATTTCCATCATCGACTGACTTTTGGGGCCAGGTTATTTATAATAGCAATTTCCTCACTGTCTAACTCACTCATCTTGAAAATCTTTCTATGCAATCATGCCTCGTTATGACAGAGAAACATTTGTGCTGAAGGTACTCTGCTTTCATAAGGTCAACATGTACCTCACCAGCATTTCCTTTTATACAGGTTGCTGCTGTGGAGCAGAGAATGTGGAGACACCAACCGAGCAGAAGATTTCTGTAGGATTGTCACAGTTAAGGAATCCCAAGGTAGCCTTGTCTTCCCAGAAGAGCCACCCCTGTGAGAGTTGTGGGCTAGTCTTGGGAAATATTTTCAAAGAGATGGAGCTGCAGGGATCACATTACGGACAGATACTGTTGAGGTGTGGGGCATGTGCAAAACGGTTTTACTTCAGTGTAAAATTTCACCAGCAGCAAATGAAAGAGAACACTTTGATTATAGGTGTGGACAGGATCTCACTTATAAACAGCTGCAATTTAAATGTATCCCAGAATCATATCACATACGGGGAGGTTAGGCAGGGTGTCCTTACCGAATCAGGACATCTCCACCTAAAGGCTACTCAGACCAGGGACAGTCCAAATGCTTGTTCAACCCGTGGGATGATGTTTCAAAGGAGAAAAAATTGTTACGCCAGAAAAGAATGTAAGAAAGACATTAGTTGCAACAACATGTTTATTCAGGAAAAGGGTGTTAGAAGTCGATGTTTTGTGTGCTCTGAATGTGGGAAATCTTTTACAAGTAACTCTCACCTTCATTATCATTGGAGAGTTCATACAGGAGAAAATCCTTATAAATGCAATGAATGTGGAAAGTCTTTTACAAGGAGCACTGGTCTCCAATATCATCAGAGAGTTCACAAAGGAGAAAAGCCTTATCAATGCAGTGACTGTGGGAAAACTTATACAAATAACACCCACCTACATAATCATCAGAGAGTTCATACAGGAGAAAAGCCTTATAAGTGTAGTGAGTGTGAGAAAGATTTTACCAGCAACAAATGCCTTCGTAGACATCAGAGAGTTCACACTGGTGAAAAGCCTTATCAATGCATTGCATGTGGAAAAACTTTTTCAGGTCTCAGTGGTCTCCAATATCATGAGAGACTTCACAAAGGAGAAAAGCCTTATCAATGCATTGAATGTGGAAAAACTTTTACAGGTTCCAGTGGTCTCCAATATCATAAGAGATTTCACACTGGAGAGAAACCTTATAAATGCAATGAATGTGGAAAATCTTTTACAGCTAACTCTGGCCTTCATAGACATCAGAGAATTCACACAGGAGAAAAGCCTTATGAATGTAGGCAATGTGGAAAAACTTTTAGAGGTCCCAGTGGTCTCCAATATCATCAGAGAGTTCACACTGGAGAAAAACCTTATAAATGCAGTGACTGTGGAAAATCATTTACTGCTAGGGCTACACTACAATATCATCAGAGAATTCATATTGGAGAAGAACCTTGTAAAGGCAGGGAATATGGGAAAACTTTTACAAGTATCAGTGGTCTCCAGTGTCATCAGAAAGTTCACACTGGAGAAAAGCATAAATGCAGTGAATGTGGGAAATCTTTTACCAGTAAGACCAACCTTCATATTCATCAGAGTGTTCACACCGGAGAAAAGCCTTATAAATGCAGTGAATGTGGAAAATCTTTTAACACTAAGGCCCTCCTTCGCATACATCAGAGAGTTCATACTGGAGAAAAGCCTTATAAGTGCAACGAGTGTGAGAAAGCTTTTACCAGCCGCACCTGCCTTCGTAGACATCAGAGAGTTCACACCGGAGAAAAGCCTTATCAATGCAGTGAATGTGGGAAATCTTTTAACACTAAGGCCCTCCTTCGCATACATCAGAGAGTTCATACTGGAGAAAAGCCTTATAAATGCAACGAGTGTGAAAAAGCTTTTACGAACCGCACCTGCCTTTGTAGACATCTGAGAGTTCACACTGGTGAAAAGCCTTATCAATGCAGTGAATGTGGGAAATCTTTTAACACTAAGGCCCTCCTTCGCATACATCAGAGAGTTCATACTGGAGAAAAGCCTTATAAATGCAACAAGTGTGAGAAAGCTTTTACCAGACGCACCTGCCTTCGTAGACATCGGAGAGTTCACACTGGTGAAAAGCCTTATCAATGCAGTGAATGTGGGAAATCTTTTACAAGTTTCAGTGGTCTCCAATATCATGAGAGAGTTCATAAAGGAGAAAAGCCTTATCAATGCATTGAATGTGGAAAAACGTTTACAGCTCCCAGTGGTCTCCTATATCATAAGAGATTTCACACTGGAGAGAAACCTTATAAATGCAATGAATGTGGAAAATCTTTTGCAGCTAACTCTGGCCTTCATAGGCATCAGATAATTCACACAGGAGAAAAGCCTTATCAGTGCAGGCAATGTGGAAAAACTTTTAGAGGTCCTAGTGGTCTCCAATATCATCAGAGAGTTCACACTGGAGAAAAACCTTATAAATGCAGTGACTGTGGAAAATCTTTTACTGCTAGGGCTACACTACAATATCATCAGAAAATTCACACTGGAGAAGAGCCTTATAAATGCAGGGAATGTGGGAAATCTTTTAAATTTAGCAGTGGTCTGCAATGTCATCAGAGAGTGCATGCTCCAGAAAGACCTCATCTCTGTAGTTAATGTGGGAAGACTTTTATCACTAGCTCTGAACTTCATTGCCATTTGAGAGTACATGCAGGAGAAAAGCCTTATAAATGCAGTGAATGTGGAAAATCTCTTAAAAGTAGCAATGGTCTGCAATATCATCAGTGATTGCACACTGGAGAAAGACCTTATCTCTGCAATGAATGTGGGAAGTCTTTTCATTATCTCTGAACTTCATTGTCCTCAGAGATTTCATACTGGGGAAAATCTTTATAAATGTGAATGTGGAAAATATTTTAAAAGTCTCAGTGGTCTTCAATATCATCAGAGCGTTTACACAGGGGGAAAAGCCTTATCAATGCAGTGAATGTTAGAAGTCTTTTAAAACTAGGACTGAACTTCATTACATTGGAGTGTTCTCACTGAAGAATGGCCTTATAAAATCTTTCACTGGAAAGATTTTCCAGTGAATATGGAAAATCTTTTACAAGTAACTCAATCCTTCATAATCATCACAGAGTTCATACTAGAGAAAGGACTTATAAATGCAGTGCGTGTGGAAAATCTTTTACAACTAACTCATGTTTATCATCATAAGAGAGTTCATACAGGAGAAAAGCCTTATCAATGCAGTGAATGTGGTAAAATTTTTACCAATAACTCTAACCTTCGTAGTCATCAGAGGTTTCACACTGGAGAAAAACCTTATGAATGCAGTGAATGTGGAAATTCTTTTACCACTACCACTCACCATCCTGGTAATCGGAGATTTCATTGAGGAGGGAAATCTTATAAATGGAGTGAATGTGGGAAATCTTTTACAACTAGCAATAGTCTTCAATATCATCAATGTGTTCACACTGGAGGAAACCGTTATGAGTGTAATTGATGTGAGATATCTCTAGACATATTTGTTGAAATGTAAAATTTTTTTTGGATGTGTGGGAAATGTCGTTTCTCAGGATTTAACAATTGTGTAAGAAAATATGTGAAGTCTCAGTTTGAATTACATCTCATACTTTTTAATCACCTCCATTATGTAGTATCCCCCAACTGTTTTTATTGTTCTGTTTGTTAGTATTTCTCTTGGACCATATGTATTTATATTACACTTTCCAACATAGGAGTGTTTCCTTGTGTATGTTACTGCATATTTCTGTTGCTGAAGGTATTTCACCTGAACCACCTATAAGGACTCTACAGATGACATCAATCGCGATCCCTCTGTGCCCAGGGATGCTAACTCTGTTGTCTCATTTGTTGAAGTAATTTAGAAATACCTAAGCCCTTAGTAGTTCTACCTTGTTTCCCTGTCATGAATTCCCACATAGGACTAATTCCTGTTTGCCCCAGTAAACATAATGTTGGAGAAAAGCTGCCATTGTTAGGGACACACTCCCATTCATCAGATGCCAGTGATGAATTTTTGGAGTTCCTAAGTCATCATTGAGCTAAGACTGCCAAACTCGGGTCTCTTTCTTTGCAAGATAATGAAGGCTTTTTCCTAGGACTTCTTTAATTTTGGGTGTTCTTTTGACTCTATTGGTTAGTTTATAAGAGAAGGAAATATTATTTTGCCTGTACAATGTCATTTCCCTCATTTGCATGCACTGAACTTCTTAGAAAAAAGGAACACTGTTAGGGTTTGGGAGGTGATGCAAGCTGTGGAAGAATTTACAGCTACAAGAAGCCATGCAGAGAGGAAGTTTGTTTTCCTTTCCAAGAGAATAAAGAGGCAAGTATTGATTGTCAATACAGGGCAAGGAAGAAAGGCTGGGTTCTGCTTTTCATCATTGGCTAAGATAAGAGAGAAAAAATGCAGGGGCCTAGAGCTGTGCTGAAGTTGAGTAGATACCAGGGCCTGTCTTTAAAAGTTTCACTTTGTTTGATTTCCAGCAGACACTCTGGCAGATGTATAGGGAGGTGTCTTATCACTGTTTTTCCCAAGCATATAAAATATGACTACAGACAAAGTTATGAAGAGTTCAGAAGAGGTGGACGGAAGGACACTTTCTACTAAATAGAGCAGTGATGGCGAACCTTTTGAGCTCAGCATGTCGGCATTTTGAAAACTCTAACTTAACTCTAGTGCCATGTCATATATAGAAATTTCTTGATATTTGCAACCATAGTAAAATAAAAATTTATATATATATATATATGTTTTTTTTTAAATATATTTTATTGATTTTTTACAGAGGAAGGGAGAGGGATAGAGAGTTAGAAACATCAATGAAAGAGAAACATGGATCGGCTGCCTCCTGCACACTCCCTACTGGGGATGTGCCTTCATCCAAGGTACATGCCCTTGAACAGAATCGAACCTGGGACCCTTGAGTCCACAGAATGACGCTCTATCCACTGAGCCAAACCGATTAGGGCAAAATTTATATTTTTGACAATTATTTTATACTAGAGGCCATGTGCACAAAAATTTGTGCACTGGGCGGAGGGGGGGGGTTCCTTCAGCCCGGCCTGTGCCCTCTCGCAGTCTGGGACCCGTCGGGGGATGACCACCTGCTAGCCTAGGCCTGCTTCCTGGGGGATTGGGCCTAAGATGGCACTCTGGCAGCCCGGCAGCCCTCGGGGGATGTCCACTTGCCAGAGGCTCCCACCTCCACTGTTGTACTGGCAGTCATCAGCCTGGCTTGTGGCTGAGCAGAGCTCCCCTATGTGGGAGCTACTGACCACTAGAGGGCAGCTCCAGCATTGTGCATCTGCCCCCTGGTGGTCAGTGTGTGTCAGAGTGACCAGTCATTACCAGTCTTTCTGCTGTTTGGGTCAGTTTGCATATTACATTTTTACAATATAGGATAAAGGCCTGGTGCATGGGTGGGGGCCGGCTGGTTTGCCTTGAAGGGTGTCCCAGATCTGGGTGGGTGTCCTGCTTGGGTACCTGGCCGGCCTGGGTGAGGGGCTGATGGGTATTTGCAGCTGGTCACACCCCCTTCAGGGTGCGGGTACCCACTGGGGTTCCTGGCCAGTTTGGGTGAGGGGCTGAGGTCCCTTTTCAGACTGGCCGGGACTGAAGCTCCCAGTCTCCCCCCCTCCCCCTTTTTTTTTTAAGTGATCAAAATATTTTATTTTTTAATTAAATCTTTATTGTTCCGATTATTACAGTTGTTCCTCTTTTTCCCCCCCATAGCTCCCCTCCACCCAGTTCCCACCCCACCCTCTGCCTTTACCCCCCCACCCCACTGTCCTCATTCATATGTGTACAATTTTTGTTCGGTATCTTCCTACACACCCCTTCCCCCCCCCCCCTCGTCCCCGAGAATAGTCAGTCCACTCCCTTTCTATTCCCTTTATTCTATTATATTCACCAGTTTATCTGGTTCATCAGATTATTTATTCACTTGATTTTTAGATTCACTTGTTGATAGATGCCTATTTGTTGTTCATAATTTGTATCTTTACCTTTTTCTTCTTCCTCTTCTTAAAGGATACCTTTCAGCATTTCATGTAATACTGGTTTGGTGGTTATAAACTTCTTTAGCCTTTTCTTATCTCTGAAGCTCTTTATCTGACCTTTTATTCTCAATGATAGCTTTGCTGGGTAAAGTAATCTTGGTTGTAGGTTCTTGCTTTTCATCACTTTGAATATTTCTTGCCACTCCCTTCTGGCCTGCATAGTTACTGTTGAGAAATCAGCTCACAGTCGTATGGGTACTCACTTGTAGGTAACTGACTTTTTTTTCTCTTGCTGCTTTTAAGATTCTCTCTTTGTCTTTGCTCTTTGCATTTTAATGATGATGTATCTTGGTGTAGTCCTCTTTGGATTCCTTTTGTTTGGGGTTCTCTGCGCTTCCTGGACTTGTAAGTCTATTTCTTTCACCAGGCAGGGCATGTTTTCTGTCATTATTTCTTCAAATATGTTTTCAACATCTTGCGCTCTCTTCTTCTTCTGGTAACCCCATAATTCGGATGATGTTTCGCTTGAAGTTGTCCCAGAGGCTCCTTACACTATCTTCATATTTTTGTATTCTTTTTTCTTTTTTTAAATATATTTTATTGATTTTTACAGAGAGGAAGGGAGAGAGAGAGTTAGAAACATCGATGAGAGAGAAACATCGATCGGCTGCCTCCCGCACATCCCCCATTGGGGATGCGCCCGCAACCCAGGCACATGCCCCCCGACAGGAATCAAACCTGGGACCCCTCAGTCCGCAGTCCGATGCTCTATCCACTGAGCCAAACCGGCTTTGGCTCTTTTTTCTTTTTGTTTTTCTGGTTGGGTGTTTTTTGCTTCTTCGTACTTCAAACCTTTGACTTGATTCTTGAGATCCTCTAGTCTGTTGTTGGAACTCTGTATAATATTCTTTATTTCAGTCAGTGTATGCTTAATTTCTAGTTCAGGGGTGGGCAAACTTTTTGACTCGAGGGCCACAATGGGTTCTTAAACTGGACCGGAGGGCCGGAACAAAAGCATGGATGGAGTGTTTGTGTGAACTAATATAAATTCAAAGTAAACATCATTACATAAAAGGGTACGGTCTTTTTTTTTTATTTTTATTTAGTTTTATTCATTTCAAACGGGCCGGATCCAGCCCACGGGCAGTAGTTTGCCCACGGCTGTTCTAGTTGGTCCTTTTTCATATCATCAAGGGTCTCACTAGATTTCTTTCTTTTTAAAAAAAAATAATATATTTTTTATTGATTACGATATTACATATGTGTCCTTATCCCCACGTTACCCCCTAACCCCCCCCTCCTGCCCTCACCCCCCTTTTGTACGTGTCCATTGATTAGGATTATAGGCTTGCACATAAGTCCTTTGGTGGATCTTTCCCTCCTACCCCCACCCTCCCGTACCTTCCCTCCAAGGCCGGACAGTCCAATCAATGCCTCTCCGTCTCTGGATCAGTCCTTGTTCATCAGTTTATGTTGTTCATTATATTCCACCAGTGAGTGAGATCATGTGGTATTTATCCTCTGACTGGCTTATTTCATTTAGCATAATGCTCTCCAGTTCCATCCATGCTGTGGCAAATGGTAAGAGTTCCTTTTTCTTCTTCCTCATCTTAAAGAATACCTTTCAGCATTTCATATAATGCTGGTTTGGTGGTGATGAACTTCTGTAGCTTTTTCT